AGTCGGTGACAAGTATAGGTTGTGTACTACGTCCAGTTGGTGACAAGTGTAGGTTGTGTACCACGTCCAGTCGGTGACAAGTATAGGTTGTGTACTACGTCCAGTTGGTGACAAGTGTAGGTTGTGTACCACGTCCAGTCGGTGACAAGTGCAGGTTGTGTACCACGTCCAGTCGGTGACTAGTGTAGGTTGTGTACCACGTCCAGTCGGTGACTAGTGTAGGTTGTGTACCACGTCCAGTCGGTGACAAGTGTAGGTTGTGTACCACGTCCAGTCGGTGACTAGTGTAGGTTGTGTACCACGTCCAGTCGGTGACTAGTGTAGGTTGTGTACCACGTCCAGTCGGTGACTAGTGTAGGTTGTGTACCACGTCCAGTCGGTGACAATCTACTGATTGACCAAACTTTCTGAGTCTGATTTATAAAAAGAAATGTCATTAGATGAAGTCACCTGGATTGGTTAGTTAGTATAGTTTTATATGCTACTTATTAACTATAACCATTAATATTTGTGTACATTGATAACAAAATCTTAAAAAATAAACTTTATTAATTACGAAGACCTAGGCTGAAGCTCACCGTTGGTCAGTGTTTTTTTATTGTTATTATTTTTGGCCAACTTTTGGCTCTTGTTCAGGTGTTCTATGTTCTGACATAGGTATGAAATATCATTATTATTATTATTAAAAGAACTCTGAGTAGTTCCAAGTTTCATGTTAATTCGAGAAGATTTGTGTTTGTGTAATAACGAGCACAATAATACAAAGTTATTTGTATGTTTGCTTGATTTTAGGGTTATACGGCTCTTCATCTAGCTGCAATGGCTGGACATAGAGGAATCATGGAGTTGTTGACTGACATGTATGGTAAGTCATTTGCCGATTAATCGGGCAGTAGTCGTCACTGTTTATTCGTTGCTTAAAGTGTAACTTCAGCCTGTGAATGTCAGGCCAATGTTACTTTGGTCTTGTTAGTATTAAACAAAAAAGGAGGTTTTTTTTTAAACATATTTCCATTCTCCAGTAGCATGCATGGAATATCGTGATACAGGCCTAATAAGTGTTTCACACATTAAAAATAAGTTTGACAATATTATTTCGGATTCCCTGCGTTACACAACACACACATACATGGTAGAAATATGCCTACACTAAATGTAAACATATAATCTTATTTCTGCACACCCTCATTTGACCAGAAAAAAAAGCCCCCCCACAGTGGCATGTCTGCAGACTTGTAATGCTAGAAACAGAGTTTTGATACCTGTGGTGGGCAGAGCACATATAGCCCATTGTGTAGCTTTGTACCTAATTACAAACAACAATAACCAGAAAACAAAGTCCAAACAATTGAGAAATGAGTAGTTGAACTTGGATTTCAGAAACCTATCAATTTCTGTGATTTCCATCCCTGTATTCTTTTAAGACATTTAAATAACCTACCCTACATGAGTTTTTAAAGTTGTTAATACGTTTAGGAATTATTGACAAAAATTTAATGTGGTAATCAATATTTAATTGTATAGTAAAAAAAAAAAATATAGCTTATATTAGATGTTTCATTCTGTAGGAATGTAGCGAAAAAATCGGAGGTATTCTACCTCTGTTATTATAATGATGTGTAGAAGGGTTATGTTGTCATAAATTGTTCTAAAGACGTAAGGACAAGCTTCATATACGGAAGCTACAGAGAGAAATTAGCCTGTAATTGAAGATCCGAGCTGTAGAAGTTAAACGGAAGAATGCTAACAATCTAACCTATTTATCTCCTTACAAGTGTTTTCTGTGTTAATTTATTGTGATTCACTTAAGTTTACAACTTATGTAATTTTGTATTTTTCTGATTTGAGATATGTCTCTTGCAGGTGCTGACCCAGATATCAGAGATTATAGTGGCAAAAAACCACATCAGTATCTGAAGTTCAACAGGCAGAGTTCAGATACATGCACTGGGTCATGTAAGAAGCAGTCTCCACCTCCTTCTCCTCTTCCATCTCCCGTAGAAAGTACACCATCAGTACAAAACGCTTCACGTACGGGCTTTCGGAGTAACCCATTTTTCCGCAATTCTTTTCAACAGTCGCTTCGTCGAGCTTCTAAGCCAAGTCTTATGCGATCAAACTCTCAGTCAAAGCACAAATCAAATCGTTAGTCATGTGAGGGAAATATTGAAACTTTTTCCTTGTTTGCAAATAGATTTACAGATTTTAACGGAAGACTATTAACAGTGTAACTATTGTCTGTGTTAAACTGAAGAACATTAACAGAGTGACCATTGTCTGTGTTAAACTGAAGAACATTAACAGAGTGACCATTGCCTGTGTTAAACTGAAGAACATTAACAGAGTGACCATTGTCTACATTAAATTGAAGAACATTAACAGTGTAACTATTGTCTGTGTTAAACTGAAGAACATTAACAGAGTGACCATTGTCTACATTAAATTGAAGAACATTAACAGTGTAACTATTGTCTACATTTTTTTTTTTTAAACTGAAGAACATTAACAGGTTGACCATTGCCTACGTTAAACTGAAGAACATTAACAGATTGACCATTGCCTACGTTAAACTGAAGAACATTAACAGAGTGACCATTGCCTGTGTTAAACTGAAGAACATTAACAGTGTAACTATTGTCTACGTTAAACTGAAGAACATTAACAGAGTGACCATTGTCTATGTTAAACTGAAGAATGCTCACAACATAAACACTATTAGGATTAGAATGTTTGTGATAATAAAAAGGGAAGAATACATTAAACTAAGCTACGATATCATCAACAATATGGAAGCTGTAGAACACAGTGGTTATCTCAGTTTTTTTTCCTGAGAACTCGGAAGAATTTAGTATGCTATGTGAATTTCAGAATGTATTTTAAGAAATAAATGACAAATTTCTGTTAAACTGAAGAATGCTAGACAAATTTTTCATCTCCTGTGAGTGGGATTGAACCCAGGACCTTCTACTTGCCAAGCAAGTGCATTACCAAACTGAAACTATCCCACGTTTATATATGTGTGTGTCTGTATATATATACACACAGAATCTATTATACAAATTTGTTTCTAAATGTGTTTAGTACATGTGATATTTCACATTAACATAACTTGGCCAGGCTTTACATTGGAACTTTCCCCACTAGTTCTGTTTATGTTGCCAAATAGTTTTCAAAATTATATATTTATGACGTTTTCAGTTGTCTTTTCTTCACCACAGTAAATTCCTTTAATTATAAAAGCTTTCAAAAGTATGGACTATTTATGCTTTTAATTTATTCCTCTAAAATATTCAGTAGACAAGCTATTAAAGATACTAAAAATAAATACGAAGACATATTATTATTACTTGATTCGCCACTTGTCGTTGAATTAAGAGAGTTCTGGGGGTTGGGGGTATCCTACAGACTCTTCTTATTTTTTCATAAAAAAATTCCTTCCCAAATCCAAATGGGTGCTTATATCAACTGATTTGTGTTCAATAAAGAAAGTGACACCTGGTGAGTAGAAGCACAATACATGATAACTTTGTTTATTCATCATTTCAATACATGTACACTATCAGTTATAAAGGAACATTTCTTGAAAACTCTGTAAATTAAAGATACACAGAAAAGGTCAGTGAGTTATTGTGGAAAATCTGTCTCGTTATCAAATATTTAATGGATAATCTCTTGTCCTTGTGTAACCACTGTTACATATGATAACTAAACATTTCCTGCCAAGTCAGTGGGATCTACAATCACTCTGCTTCCTCCATAAATGGTGAAGGCTGTACAATGTAGTATATCACTGTGTGTGTTTTAAACTGAAGAATGCTATCAATGTAACCACTGTCTGAAGAAAACTAACAATGTGACCATTGTCTGAAGAAAACTAACAATGTGACAATTGTCTGAAGAAAACTAACAATGTAACAATTGTCTGAAGAAAACTAACAATGTAACCAGTGTCTGAAGAAAACTAACAATGTAATCATTGTCTGAAGAAAACTAACAATGTGACCAGCGTCTGAAGAAAACTAACAATGTGACCATCGTCTGAAGAAAACTAACAATGTGACCAGCGTCTGAAGAAAACTAACAATGTGACCATTGTCTGAAGAAAACTAACAATGTGACCAGCGTCTGAAGAAAACTAACAATGTGACCAGCGTCTGAAGAAAACTAACAATGTGAC